GTCATCTTTATTTCTGCAATCAAGTCTTCCAAACGATTTAAATCTACAAAGGTCAGCAATTACTTCAGAGCATCTGTGAGCAAACCACTCTGGCCAACACAATGAGACTCCAAGGACAATGGTTTATTAACTGTTATGGCATTATGACTTTTTTCTTAGAAATAATTGGTTTCTACTTTCTGTTTTATGTCTCCAGTTGACTAGGAAATACTTATAATCAGATTTTTTATTTTTTCTTTTTTCTTCTCAATATTTATGCCCTTCCTATAGTAAAGAATGCAACCTCAACAATTTTTCATCAGTGAGATGGAAATGATAATAGCCTAACTCTTACTTTCAAAGATCACGTATGTTAGTATATACAAGGTATTAATAAAATAAGTTGTTCTTCAAATGGAATTGCCATAAGTTCATTATTTTCGTTCGTATTTACAGGACATTCTCAGGCAAAGGCTGGTGGTGATAGTTGGTGATATAGTAGCATGCCACTGAACAAAATTCATAGTGCAATTTGCTAGGAGTACTTTGAGTTGAATTATTGAAGTTCTATTTATTCTTCAGAAACAGCTGAATAAACTGAAAAAATCTATTGATAATTTCACAGAAAGACAGCAATAAATTTCCTACAAACTACTCTGTATATGTGTAATTATATAAATAGTCAGCTTAAGAAATATCAGAAACCACCAGTGTACAGGGAATGCTTGATATATCCAATTTGTAAGCTGAATAAGAATTTCTAAAACTACTTTATAAACATTTACTGGCCCTCTTCGAAGCAAGTAAAATGTGTACTTAATCTAGCCACTATACTATGATACATTTAGCTCTAATGAAACGTGACCCAGTAACATTAGTGTAAGAGAGTAGCTTAAAGTTTATTTCTTTATGAGACCAGTTACTCCCACTTTACAGCTGTTTTTCCTTCTGAATCTGGGAGTCTAACCATCCATCTAAACACAGCTTTCAAGGAAAATAGAGTTTGATCAAGCTACAATTTTGACTTGAGAATTGCCAAATGGGTGTTTGCTCCAGTTTTCTTTTCATTTCTCTGTTTTTGTTTCTCTAACTTGGTGAATTTGAGAAAACAGACTTGCATTCAAAGCACATTTGGGAATTATTAAGGTATTCATGTTTTTAATTTTGTAAACAAGACTGCATGCTTTAGGTCCTGACTTGTATTCTTATTTGGTATTTTGTGGGTATTTATTATTTATTTTAAAGAAATATTTGCTTATTTATTTGGGGGAAAGGGACATGTCATGATAGGCACATGGAGTCCATTTTCTCTTGTCTGTTTAATCCTGAAGAATCAGACATTAAGTCCTCAGGCTTACCAGCTGACTGCTGCCATTGTTGGATAGGCCATTTCACCAATCCATATATCTTCATTTGAATTAAAATTTATTTTGCACTAATGCACTAAACATTTTACCTACAGTGAGATGCTAGTCTTAATAAAGCAACTCTGGGTTATCATTTTAGAGTATGAGAAATCAAATGGAAAACTACAGTCTGTAGAAATGTTATTAAGATGTTCTCATTCATTTTATTTATTTAGGAATCTTTTTATCTAAATATTACTTTTTACAAAATATTGTTTTAACATTTGTGTATTTTCTTTTGATAAATTTTGAAAAATTGTTTGAGAGGTTTATAATAGGCTTAAAATATTTTGATCAAATCCACTTCCCTTTCCCTACCCTCCAATTCCTCCACAATCTCTTCCATTAATTTCCCCTCCCAATTTCATATGCACTTTTACTTTTATAACTTACTGAATCCACCTAGTGCTGGTCTCTATGTGCTTGGGTGTAGGACCATCTTTTGGAGTATGGGTGGTCTTTTGGCCTCATTCCTGAAGAAAACTTACCCTCCCTCCCAGACAGCTGTCAATTGCCAGTGGTTTTTCAGCAAGGGCTGGGACTTCATGAACATTTGCTGGCATTTTGTCTGGTTTGTTCTTGTGCAGGTCCTTATACTTGCAGACACAGCTATTTTGAGTTCATGTGTTTAATGGCCTTGTCCTCTCCAGTGAGCTCTGCCTTGCTGTAGACTTCCACTACCTCTGTCTCTTACTGTCTTCCCATTCTCTCTTCTGTGATGGTCCCTGAAACTTGAGAGGAGTGGTATGATGTCACTGGCCTATTTAGAGCTGTGCACAGCACAGCATCATGCTCTACAAGGTGTAGAGTTGTCTCTATACCTGATGCTCTATATTGTAAAAAGAAGCTCCTACAATTCATTCTTAATGTGTGTGTGTGTATATATATATATATATATATATATATATATATATTCATAAGCATGTATCCTATTTACTTTCTGTAAGAAAGTTTCAAGTGTTGTGATGACCTCTAGACATGTGGAGGTCTTGGATTAGCAGTGCCCATTTGGTCTGTAGAAAAGAAAGCAACAGTTTTTATACCAAATTTAAAAATTATACAGTATTGTGAGATATAAGGAAAAATGCAACAGAAATAAAAGGGTTCCATTTTTTTTTTTTTGCTTTCTTTTATTCTTGGACTTTTTGTGGCTTTGGATGCTGGAGATGTAATGTTCCTCTCTCTCAAATCCAATTTGGATGAGTAAATCAAATGGGTTCAACACAAGAGGTTCTGCACTGGCCAAGCAAAGATGGGAATGGATTTACTGGCAACCAATTAGCTATTAGTTTTTCAGGGTCAGCTTCTCCAGGACATGTTCTAAGGAAACTAGGTAGGAAAAACTTAGTCACCAAACCCAACCCAGGCTCTCCAAGTTCAGGCAGTTAACCCACACTCTACCATAGAGAGCTAAGAGGTAAACCAGACTGCATTCAGACCTTTGAAGAGATTAGGCAATCCCAGTACTGTAGCAAACATCTCTCTGGATGCGACTTTGAGGCAGATGACTGCTCTTAGCTGTCAGCTTTTCTTATTCCCAATTCCTTTAATGTTCTTTGAAGTTTAAATCATAGATATCCAACATCAATAGAAATCATAAAGCACTTTCTGGGGAGGGGTGAATGTAAAAAATCAGAATTTTATGATTAAAAAAAAAATCTGGCTTCACTCTAGGTCCAGTAAATGTGTATCTAACTCTTTGAACTGTTTCTACGCTTTCAAAGAAACTAAGTGGTGAGGGAAAAATCATTCCAGACAGCTTGCTAGAACTTCATGAAGTTTCTCAAACGCAGATCATAAGTCATGTGAGATTACAAGTTTAACACACAAAGCTCATTCTTAAAGAAAAAAATATCACTTCAATTCATAAAAGTTTTAAAATGGAAGCAAGCAATTAGAATCTGAATCTATTTTCTTCTGTATCAGAATCAAGAGAAAGAATAGTGATAAGGAAGCATCAGAATAGAATGTGAACATATTCACAGAGATTATGAGGTTCACGAAAGGGGAATTTTGTAGAAGCAATGGCAAATATGGTTGCATTGGTCAAAATATAGACAGTTTAGTGGTGATTTACACGGCATAGTCAGAGGGTTCCTAACTGAAACCGACACAAGGGAGCAGAACAGGAAGATGCAATGTGAAGTAGAATGTTCTCATCAAGTAGAAGACTCTGGGTTCCCTGCTTGCAAAGTTTTAAATGGCATGCTTTTAATCTTTGTGAATTTCAATTAGGCTCTGCAATGGGCAAGTCAGGAAAGGAATATTAATGATGGAGGAGGAGGAGGCTGCATGGTGCTCCATTCTTCATAGAGCCAGCAAAATGAGAACAGATGTTTGTTTAGGTTATAACCTTAAGTGCTCATTGGCAGAGTGGTGGCTTATACATTAAAATGAACAGCCTGAAATATTTCCATTATCAAGGTTACCCCCCCCATAATCTTCAAAGCTAAGCTAATGTTTCCTGTAGATTAGCACTGCCTGTTAAGAAAACTGAACCAACCACCTAGGGAAAAAAAAATCTGAATTTTTGGTGCTCAACTACTAAAACTGAAGTATTTGGCTCATATTGACTCTGAATATAAAATAACAGACATACTAAATGCTCCCCCTTTTTCTTTTCATAGTGTCTCATGTTTATAACAACTTTGGAAAAAAAAATACCAGCTCTGATTTGCTTGAGTAGAATGTAGATAACATTCATTCTCGTGTGCGGTACAGAAAGAATAAAAACAAACAAACAAAAAACAACAGCAACAAAAAAACCCCACAACTAGCTCTCTCTCTCTCTCTCTCTCTCTCTCTCTTTCTCTCTCTCCCCCCCCCCCGTTGTTTTCCTTTTCTTTTCTTTCTTTCTTTTTCTTTTTTTTGTTCAAGTTGTTCGGTTGGATTTAATCGCCCCAGATAAAATGGAAGAAAAAGCAGACAGATCAAATACAGAATGCTCAAAGTGTATGATAGGATTGGAATTACAAGTCTCTGCCAAGAAAAAGCCCTAAAGGGGGAAAGCCTCAAACTGCTTCATCTTGCTACCATCTGCAGAAGGCACTGGAAAGGCGGCCGCGGATCCCCTTTGCTCCAGGCTAATGTAAACTTTTTATAGCTTTTAGATTGAGTCTTGATCACCAGGTAAAGAAAATGCCTGGCAAAGAGATTAGGGAAAAGCCATTGCTGAGAGTAGGCAGGAGGTTTCCTGATGTGTAAGGTCGGTCCAGGGCCTTCACTGACCAGCTCCGGGCAAGTCTCCAGCCCTCCTAGCTTGAGGGGAAATTGGTTCTGATTGCCAGAGTGCGGAGGAATGAGAGGTACATCCAGAAAGCTAAGGAAATCAAAGAAACTTCCTGCTGTGTAATTCCACATAACGTGCGTTTAACTTGGTCCTGCGTGGATGCGCTGATGACTAAGTAAAGGCGTGATTAGCCCCTTCGCCCTCCAGTGGGAGCCATACATCGTTACTTCTTCCAGGCAACCACATCGCTCCACCAGAGAAGATGTCGGGGGACGACGAGCGGCAGGGAATAGTCCGCGGGACCTAGGGCCTCACCGACACGCACCATTCAGAGTTTCTCACCCACACTCACCAGCAGCGCCCCCCTAACCCACCCACTAGGAAGCTCGCAGCCCCCGGAGAACAGCTCCGGGTGGGGCGTGGGCTCTGCTCCTCCAGCGCGGTGTGGGCGCCGGCAGCGGAGCTCTGGGGCTCACTGGGGTGCCCCACGCCTCCCCGGCTGCGTTGCCCCAGGTGCCCAGAGGGCGGCGGTCGCTTGAACAGAATTGGGGTGGGGGTGGGGGTCCCCTATTCCCAGGAACCTCATTAGCTCTCCTCCTCAGACTGGCTCCTCCTTCTCCTGGCGTGGGGCTCGTGCCCGCCACTGCCTGCGCGCATCGTGCCTCCGCGCCCCCACCGCCGGCTCCTGCCATCGCTACTCCCTCCTCCTCTTCCTCCTCCTCCGCCCATCACCGCCACTACGGACGCCTTCGCCGCCTACTCCTCGCGCGGCCGCGGCTCCTCGCGCTCTGTTCCAGCTTCCACCAGCCCATCCCTTTGCTGCCTGCTCTTTAGGCTGCTGCAGTCTCTCTCTGTCTCTGTCTCTGTCTCTGTCTCTCTCTCTCTCTCTCTTTCTCCTCTCTTTCTCAAGTTTTCTATCTCCTCAGAATCAGAACCACTGGAGGAAAACATCTACTTCTGCTTGCTGTTCAGGTAGGGTCGCAGACGTTCGTGGCAGCCGGCGACCTTTGCTCATTTTCCTTTGCTTCGCCAAGCATGCCTACCCCCGCCCCCCCCCCCCCCAACCCACTCCACTCTTCTTGCTCCCTCGGAATAGAGGCTCAGGTTCTCCTCTGCCCTCCAGCTTCCAAAATCTAATTCCAACGTCCCTCTCCAGAAGCGTATTTGCAACTACAATAAAAATTCAAAAGCCAGTCCAGTTCGGTGGCAGCACGCTGGCCCGGCTCTTTTACAGTCTCCAACTTTGCACACAGTGGCTGCGCTGCTTTGCCTGCTTGGTGTTTGATCCTGAAGCTCTTTGGGTAGTCTGGGCTCCAGAGCAGCTGTCAAACACGTAGTTCGCAGCACTTAATTCCCACCCTTCTGCCTCCTGAACGTGGACATGGGCAAATGTGGATGGGCAGAGAGAATGATTTGGTTTTGATTTTCTATTTTTCCTTTTTTTGCGTGGGGTGGTGGTTGTTGTTGGGGAAAGTGAACACGCGAGGATTGCAATTCACTGTAAGGAAAAGTAGGCTGCTTGCTGCTAGCTTTTCCTGCTGTGCTTGCGGAGGTGGTCTTCGCAGAGAGGGCGAGGCATGGAGTATCCAGCTCTCCACCTCGTTTCCACTCACTCCAATCTATTCCTCCGTAAGCGCATGTGTAAGCTTGGAGTCCCAGGGTCTTGTCATTTTATGTGTGAATAGCGAAGTGTTTGCAGAGGACGGGGCTGGGGGAAGTTAAGAGGTGGTGGTGGTGGGGGGGGGATGAACTAGCGTGATCTAGTCATTAAAAAAAAAAAATTCTCCTTCAGTCATCTAGTTCTACACCTGTATACCTAGTACATGAGAGTAACACCCCCACTACCACAACTGAAATGGCATTCTTTGGGGATACTTGGTTGGTAGAACTCAGAACAATTTTAATTTTATCTTCTTTTTCTTCCGTAGCTTCTCAAACAAGGAAGATGAAGACAAAACTGAACACCGGCAATGTACGGTCTCTGCTGCTTGTTTTCCTGGTGTGGGACCCAGCCAGGTGAGACACTGTGTTTGGTTTCTGCAGTTCAGGTACAGAGTAATTTTTTAAAATGCCGTTAAGTGTATCTGTGATCTCTTAGAGTCGAGGTGATTTGAAGAACTCCTTTTAATGGAAATGTATTGTATAGAAAATTAACCCGTTAAGTGTCTGAAACTCTAAAAAGTTTGCTGATCTTTTCTTTTTCTTAAAACAAAAACAAACGAAAGGGAACGGACACATTTTCTATATGTAACACTTAACTGGAGAATACTCTATCAGGAGTATATTAGTCCAAAGAATGAAGAATCTGGTGAGGAAGCCAAATTCTCCTCGGGGAAAACAGAGAAGTGTCAGATAAATAATTTAAGTGGAAATTTAGGTTTTTCCTTTTCTTTCTGTTTCTTCCTTTGCTTTTTTGTTTTCAATCACTGGGGCTTCTAAAAACAACACAGAGAACGCCAATGATATGAGAGTCTTAAGCCTCTAGGTGGAGGTAGTATACAATTCCACAATCTCAAACAAAAAACAGAAGATCTGTCAACCAACTTCTCATTTTAGTAATCTGGATATATCTTTCTTAGCAGATGGTTACTGATAAAAAGAGTCAGCTTGGATTTGTGATTTTTCTTTTGCCAATTATCAATACGGCAGCTAATTTGATTGTTTTGAGCAATTTCATCTTAATTGTAATCTGTTCTGATTTTTAAAAATTGGGCAGTGGGTATATTTAATTTAATGCATTTAGAAAATGATTTTAGACACTAGAAGAATTAAAACATAAATTCCATAAGAATTTTTCAATAGCCATTAATTTTTAATAAATATCATAGCATTTTATTATCCCCTTTAAGAATTTTGACCAAATAATCTTCAAAGTGTGAAAAAGATATTTTGGAAATGAAAAGAAATCTATTTGGAAATACTTAATTATAATTGGGAAATACCCACTAATGGACTGTAGAAAGAGAAATATGAAATTTATGAAATATGACCGAGAAACACCTCTGTGAGAAAAATCACAGACTCTTGTGACTATCCTAGTGAGGGTTTTTTAAATTAGCTTAAAGTAGGCAAGAAGAAACTTTTGAGGGTAGTGTAGGAACTGATTTACTTATATAATTTGAGGTTGTTTGTCTTCCTGTTCACACTTTAGTATTCACTCTGGTTTTCAAAATGTTCCCTTGATGTTCCTTGCCACTTTTGATGTTATTACGAGTATTGTTAGCTACTACTTCACGTTCATTTCAGTGTAAATGGTCTCTGTCAATGATGTTTTATATGACGCACCTTGACTAGCATGTAAGTACACCTGAGCATTGACTTTAGAGACATAGGCAATCTATGATCAATTAATGCCCATTGAGAACCACCACCAATTGCTTAACTGAGTATCACTCTATTCATTTTCTGTTCTATATTTAACCAATAATGTTCACGGCAGTATTTTATTCTATTATATAAATGATTCTTTTTTGGGGACAGTAATTTAAATCTCTGAATCATTCTGAGAAAAAACGGTAATGGAAAAGGACACTCTGTTTTATACATCAGTTTCTTTGGTACCAAATTGCTTTCACAAAATCAGGTCTCTGGCTTTATGACGGAAAAATAATGGAGAAAATCACTGCTTCAAAAGCCTGGCTAGGGATATTTTAAGACCATCTCTTCCCACAAATTTTATCACCAAAAAAAGGGCAACTGGACACATTCATCTTTATGTAGCCCCTAATATCTCTTCTGAGACTACTCCACAGACCTAGCCTTCCTAAGACTCTGTGAAATTGTGTGTGACTGCTGCCTTTAGAACCCACCTCCAGCTCCTGGCCACATTGAGCCTGGCAGCCTGCCAGTGGAGTTTCCCTGATGTCTATATTACACTTGGCCATTGGGTGGAGGTATACCCCAAGTCAGGAAATTATCTTGGTCTAAAAATGGGAAAGACATAGAAAAACAATGCTATCTATGAGAACGATAGAGAGATTTGTACCATCAAGATGACAGTTTATTTTCCAGTTAGTGTTTACAACACCGAAGAAACACTTTGGAAGTCTCTCTCGTTGCTACACTCCATCTAACTGCAAAGCAATCTCGCCAATAATGTGGGCACATGAGAATCTACCAAAATGATATGCTTTATGCAATAGATTTTAAGATAAGCCATAAAGAGGGCTAAGTGGCAGAAATCTCAAAAGTATTTTCATTAGATTTCTGATATTCTGTTATTTTTAAACATTATATTTACTGTTCCCGTGAGTTGAGTGCTATTTATAAAATGAAAAAAGGAATGAAGTGTGTGTCATTAATGGCCAAAGAATTCTCAAATTTAGATCAAGTAATAAGAGCATTTTGGCACTTAGCCAAACTCTGTGCATACATATATAAAACACATACCAATTTGTAAAATTATCTGTTTAGGTTGGTGCTGGCTAACATCCAAGAAGATGAGGCTAAAAATAACATTACCATCTTTACAAGAATACTAGACAGACTTCTGGATGGTTACGATAATCGGCTTAGACCAGGACTGGGAGGTAAAAATAATTCTCCTTTGTTTCTATAAACCGTCTTAAAACAATGACTTTAGAAGTTAAAGGTAAAAGTCTCATCTTCATGCATGAAGACATAGTATCAGGCATTGGAAAATAAGATGCACAAAACGAACCTTATTGCTTTCTTTTTCACATGCCTAATATATTTCATTTATCTTGTGTGGAATGCCCACATTTATATGGAGACAAGGTTTTTTTGTGTGTGTGTGTGAAGAATTTTCTAATTAATTTATTGAAAGAGACCTGTTTTTCATCAGAGAATATGTCTAATTTTGCAATTGTTTATCTGTTTTACCTGTGTAGTATCATGGGCTACTTAATTACCACTTTTTACAGATTCTTATTTTCAGGTTAGTATACATCCTCAATAATTTTATACAGAAGTATCAAATTTGGAGTGGCTATAATTCTACTCCAAGAAGTTGTCACACGGTTGAATTTCAAACTCCAACAACAATTTTCAAATAAAACTTTTTTTTTTAATCCAAGAAAGTAAAGAAAATAAGATTGGCTAGTGAGCTAAGTTTTAACTACCATTCAGCAATGCTAAGGGATGCTAGAGTTAGATGAAAGTAGCATAGATGCAGGATTGCTAAAACTATCCTTAAGCCAAAATGGCACTAATGAGTTTTAAGATTGCTAAATATTTATTGATTTGTATAGATATTGATATGCTACAAAAAGCTTTAGTTATGAAACCACATGTGATAAATATTTCCATGTACACATACCTAATGAAATGGTTAGCTGATTCAATAATAAGAAAAATGAGCTGAATATTCTATGTCAGGTAATGATCAGCACAGTTATATGGTTATCCCAGTATTAATAACTTTGCAGTTCTGCTGACTTGGGTTTGTACTAAATTGGGCCTGATGGCATACATCTGTGATCTCTGCATTTGTGAAATTGAGGCAAGCAGATCAAGGGTTCAAGGTTTTCCTTTATTACACAGTGAGTTCCAGTCCAACCTGAGCTACATGTGGCTTTGTGGAAATCTGGGTATTGACATAATGTGTGAATTTTTAATTTAGTTCGTAATTAATTAGCTTGATAAAGATAGACGGTTGAGTGGTACGAAAGCAGACAAGCGGACCCAACTTGTTGAACAGTATGACATTTAATTATTGGATATTTCTAGCATAAGGGCTTGTTACCCAAGTTAGAAAAACGGCAAGCAACTCTCACGTTGCTTCCACACCAGAGAAGCAAGTCTAGTGCACAGCTGCCCAGTTCATAATGGTGGCCCAGGGTGTGCAATTGCACTATGGCAGCTCTTTTATCTTAGACACATCAATTTTTGTTTTTAAATAAATTCCCTGTTGCAAAATAAATTGGGAAATATTGAAATTAGACCTTGAACTTCATTTTTTTTTAATTTTAAAAAGTTTTGATTTAAGGTTGCATGGTGGGGTACGAAAGACCACCTGTTTTCGGCTTTGAATCTTACCATGGTCTCCAATTCTTTTTTTATAGTATTAAAAATTCCTTTTGCTCACATTCATATATGGATGCCCATTGTCTTGTTATTTGGTTTAATGTAATATATTGTGTCCTTTCTTAGGCTGTTCTTTTTTCCCCAATTCCTCAGTAACGACCATCTACTAGTATCTGGTGATCTGATTACTCTGACACAGCTAATCTATGTGTGCCACCTCTCTTCTCTTGATCATATGCCTTGCATGGTTCCCAATCTGATGAATGGTGTTGAGGGTACTGGAAGAGTATAGGCTATGTGTCAGACTTTCTAGAGTAGTGCTCTACAGCATCCCTCTCCCACAACGCTGCCAGACAGAGAAGTCTTGTTTCCTTTGCTTAAAAGTGGATGAACTGTGTCTACCTTTCTATTTTATTAGCTGATTAGGAATGTTGCATAACAACACAGAATACACAAATGTGTGCCCCATGCTAATAATAATTTGACTTCATTGAATCCACTTTCTTTCCTCCTGTCCTAGGATCCATGCTTCTCTGGGTTCATTTTCCATATTAGGTCAATTCCCATCTATCTTGCACTTCAAACTTTACTAGTTTCTTTTGGCAATCCCTTCCATCTGCTCCTTTGGCCTGTGGCTATATTATCTAGTGTTAGTAGAATGACTTCTCTTCCACTTTTCTGCTGATTGAAAACCTCACATTTCTATGGAAACCATCATGATACCAGTGGTCTTCAGTACAGACTTTCTTGACTGAGTTGAAATACCAAGATTTAATTCTCTGCCTGTTGAATTTCTTTAACAGTTGCTATTTTTGTATCTCACATAGAACTTACTGCATATTATCTTGTATTATTTATTTCATTTTAAGCTCCTCTTGTTACCTTAATAGTGTTGTAGGGATGTTGCATCATAAATCCTCTCTGATTTCTGCAGCTGGATATTGATTTGCTTATTGTGACCATAAAATAAATGTTGATTTTTTTTATTAACTTTCTGCCATCTGGATAATGGGAATGCCTGTACCTGGCTGCCATCTGAGCTATAAATGCTGATGTAAGAAGTGTGACTCAAGGAGAGAGATGAGTCTTTTACTCAGAAGATTTAATACAACAGCTCTGGTCCTCAGCACTTGTTCAAACGTGAAATAGTCTGCCTCTGTAGATGCACACTATTCCTGGAATACAGTTTATATTTCAATTCTTTTGATAAATATTGAATATGATGACATATGCAATGCATGTAGCAAAATTGTGTGCATGTAGACAATTAGAAAAAATGATTGAAAATAAATAAAAGCCTGTGAAAAATTTCTAAATGGACTCTTAAAAATTTAAATCATTCTCATCATTCCTGCAATACAGCATTTCTTCCTTTTCTTTATGATCATGTCTAAGTCTCTGTGGGTGCATATGCACAAGAATGCAGGTGTCCTTGGAGGTCAAGGATGTCATATTATCCTGAAGCTGACATCACAGGAAGTTTTTGGAGTGCTAGTAAATAAACTCAGGTTTTCTTTGATAGCGGTGTGCACTCTTCACTTCTCTAAGAGTCTTCAACTAATGCACACATGTCATTTGAAATAGAAAATTCAGGTGAATACTCTGTCATATTCCAGAGGTTAATAAGGGAAATAATTAATATTCAGTTCGATAAGAACATACAGGAATTAGCATCTTCATTGATGGTTAATTAGATAAATAGCCATAAGTGTTGTTTTAATTCATTTATAACTTAAATATACATAAATACTTAGGAAAGAGAAGTCAGACTTTAAACAATAAGTTAGAAAGGTTATTCACCTGAATTTGCTCCTTAATCTTACCCAGAGAAGTTTTTCAGACTTTGAGATCTAATATTTTCTTTGGGAAAGTGGGAATAATAATAATAATAATAATAATAATAATAATAATAATAATAATAATGATATTTAATTTTGAGAAAAGGTTGGTGTATTGAGATTAAGGTACATGGCACAGGTTATGCAATATATTGGATTATCCATTTTTCAAAGATTTAATAATTTATGGTAGGACCTTTTTCAAATTTAAGTCAGATTATGCCATTTACCCTCTCCGAGCCCTGAAATCACACCCTGTTCATCCTGCATTGGACATGTGTGCAGCCCTGAGTGATCTGCCTTCCATACATTCTTTGACCTCACCTCACATAGCTCTCTGCCTCAACACACCTCTTCACCTGCACTGATCTCCTTCCTGTCCTGTAAACACACCAGGACACTCTGGCTATTCTCCCTTCACGTGAGATATTCGTTGATGTAATCCACCTTACCAGCCAACCAAATATAACCTATGGCCTGATTGCCCTGTCAATCTTGATCCATCTTACCTACTTGCATTCTTTCCATAGACAGCTTTCTTTTAACATACAATTTAAATTATTTATTACTGTGTGGTTAACTGTTTATTTTGTCTCTTTAAATGACACGTGTAGACTTTTTAAGTCTGTAACTTCTTGCAAATTTTATTTCTTGATATACTGATAGACCTATCCTAACATCCCAGAAAAAAATGGCTCAGATAAGCAGTCGTGAATATCTTGAATGAAATATATTTCTACTAAATCAACTTCTGTTTTAGCATACTGCACAAAAAATTACCCATACACTTACTTTTTTCTTAAGACAAATGCAATAATTATGATCAGATTACAATATTGTCATTTTATTATCGACATCGAAATATTTCAAACTGACACTTGGGTGATTCAGAGCAGTTATGCTACCGAATTATTCAAAGTCTACCTTGCATTAGCTACCGTTGTGCAGCAAGTTAGGATTTGAAGGGATGCTCTCATCCTATTTCTTGCTTAACTTTCAATCTGTGAAATGGGAGATTGAATTCTATTTATCCGCCTTTTCTCTCACAGAGATTTTATGTTGCTCAACTAAATGTAGCTTCTTAAGAAGGCATAATGCGGCATACTGAGGAAAATAAGATAAATATTTGTACAAGGAGCACAGGCTGTCTCTTAATGGAGTCTATCTTTCACTCTGTGGATTCTCTCTCTCAAGAGGTGGTATTCTTTAAAAACACATCAAGGAAACAAGTATTGGTCTTATAAATTTGGCAGTCTTATTCATTCTGAGAGTGGAAAACCAAGGTAGATTGCCTCAAAATCTTGTCAATTAAGAACATATATTAAAATTAGGTAGCATTTACTTAATGCGGTTGCCCCTTTGCCTTCATGTTAGTCACTGCCGCTAGCAACGTAGGGAAACTGAAAGTTTTACTTTGCTGAGACTCTTTCAAATTGTTAACTTGCTAAAAGACCGACACTTGTTTTCAGACCAATTTTATGGGGTCACTGGCAGATTGAGTGTGTAGACAGGCCTCATATATTTATGACAGCTAACATTCACAGAGCTCAGCAGTGATAACTATTAGAAATGACAAGCCTGATATTTAAATTATGGACGCGGTCTGTGAAATCCAGATTGAGTACCATGCCTAACTACAGTTCTCAAAAGTTGTTTTGAAGAGTTCATCTAGAAAATATCTTCCTAGCATTCTTTTATGATCCAAA